TTTTTTTTTTTTTTTTTTCACTTTCAGCTGTGGACCGACTGTGTTCAAATGAAAAAGGAATTATAAATTTACGAAACTAGAATGTGCTGTTCTCGTAATCGTTTTGAACTCACCTCGATTCAATTGCACTCAATTGTTATTCCAAGCAGGGAATTTAATAATAGTTTAATCTTCTATTTACGGGAATTGCAAGTGCTGCTATTGATAAAACAGAGCATTAGGTAATCCACGATCGATTCGTTTATCTGGCTCTTATCTAACATGATGAACAAGCGAAATATCCAAGAATAATCAAGCGCATTTTCGTCTTTTCATACGAAGAATGACTCATACTTTTGAATCTAACAGATTGCGTTTATTTCCAACGACGCAGTGTTAAAATACTCTTGTTCGTCATGAAACTAAAGTCACGCTAAAACTCGTGAAAGTTCACGAGAAATCTGTCAATCGTATTCTTCTTCGATCTTTAATAAGCAATCGAACAATATCATCCCCTGTGTGAACATTTCCCGTAGGATCGCACGATTCTTTCGTTCCTTTTTCCCCCCTTTTTTTTTTCTCGTCAGACTCGCAGCCGTTCTTCTCATTGCATTAGGCTACTCTTGTGATTTCTTGTAAAAGTTCACGAGAAATCTGTTAATCGTATTCTTCTTCGATCTTTAATAAGCAATCGAACAATATCATCCCCTGTGTGAACATTTCCCGTAGGATCGCACGATTCTTTCGTTCCTTTTTCCCTTTTTTTTTTTTCTCGTCAGACTCGCAGCCGTTCTTCTCATTACATTAGGCTACTCTACCGAGACTCCTGACGTATTTTGATTCGATTGCAACGCCACCAGGAGACACGATAATAATCGGCCCTTGCAGAACGGGGATGGTGGAGAGCTTTAAATGCGATTAACCGACACCGGTGGATTATGTAGCCAGGCACGTGACCGCGTGTCACGCGCACGGATTATAAATATAATATACTGGGTGTACACCGTGCATCATCTACGTCAGTCAGATTGATATTGTTCCCCGTTTGAAGGGTGGAAACGCAATACGACCCCCCCCCCCTCTCTGTTCCTCGCGAAACAGAAGAGACGGTAGTCGGATCTTCTCTGACGTCGTAAATCACGACCCGAGGAGATCGTTCTCGATTATTAGAAATACCAGACGCGTATCCGGCGTTAAGCATCGTAACGATGACTCGATTGAGTGCGATTTCGACTCGTCGAATCCGTCGATTATCGCCTCGGTCGATCTATCGTTCCATCGGTTTACTGTTCTGATTTAAATATTCATACACGTTGCGATAATTTATCTGAAGTGTGAGATCATATCGTATACCTGAGTGCAGACATATCTGTCGGTCAATTGATTTTCTTTTTTTTTTACAGGGGGGAGGGATTTTTACTTGCGATTACTTTGCTGGAATTTTACAATCCGATATCGAGGTCCGATCGAAGATAGAATTCAGTAGATAAATTGAGACTCCGATTTCTTTCTCCTTTTTTTCCTGATGCCTCGTTAATCCTCTGCTGCTTGTAGGTTTAGCGAGGGAAAAAGGACCTAGTACGTGACTCAAATTTAATTCTGTCTTGGTCCTTTGCCTGGAGCAGCTGAATTTCACTTCTCATCTACCATGTAAAATTAGTTACTGTTACAGTACATTCATCGTTCATTCTACCAGTAAGATTTTATTTTGTACTAATAGTTGTCTTTACGTGTCAATTCTTTGAGCCAAACCACTTGCGACTTTGTACTTCGTATTCTCTCTCCATCAGTGATAGTTCACCTGTCTCATCTTCTAAAGAG